TGTGAGCCACCATGTGGTTGCTGGGAATTGAACTCAGGATCTCTAGAAGAGCAGTCAGTGCTCTTAACCACTGAGCCATCTCTCCAGCCCAAAATGACATAGCTTTTTTTTTTTTTTTGGCTTTTCAAGACAGGGTTTTTCTGTATAGCCCGGGCTGTCCTGGAAATCACTCTGTAGACCAGGCTGGCCTCGAACTCAGAAATCCACCTGCCTCTGCCTCCCAAGTGCTGGTATTAAAGGCGTGCGCCACCACTGCCCGGCTTGACATCTGAAATGTAAATAAATAAAATATCCAATTAAAAAACACCTTCTTTCTATAAGCTGCCTTGTTAGAGGTGTTTTACCACAGCAATAGAAAGGTTGCAAACACATGACAACCCCCAATTCTTGCCTTTGTTACTCTTTCCTATATACCACTGTTAAAAGCACTTTGAAGATGTAATCCTAGCATTTGAAGGAAAGCATTTCATAAGTTCAGTGCCACTCTGGGCTACATCGCAACATTTTGTCTCAAAAACAAGACAAAACAACAACAACCACAAAACCCACAGAAGACAGATTTTAGATCATCAGGCTTCTGTTACCAGTGCAATGATACAGTTGATAAGATTCTTGCCTACCTTTGTGACTTAGTGTTCAATCCAGGATCGATCTTATTGGGATTCTCTGAAGGTAGAACTTTTGCCTTAACTCAGGAATATAGCAACAATGCTAATAAGGTAATAAAATGTGGATATAAAATACACTGGAGTGGTCAAAAAATTATATATGGCTATTTCATGAAAAGGCAGTTAAAGAAAAGGTCAATTTGAATACTGACCAATAAAAACACCAACAATAATATCTCTTCATAGTGGAATCATGAGTTATTTTCCCTCAAGACTATTTCATTTTTAATATTTTTGAGTATGTAGTATTCCCGTTATCATATCGTTTGACATTGAAATACATTATATATAATCAGTCACATAACTATAAAACATAGTCTTCCCTGAGTGCTCATTTTACTGCCATATTCAATGTAGGATGTTTGAAAAATAAATTACAAAGATTAACATTTCATACTTTGGTACATTCTTTTCCAGTCATTTATTATGTGTATGAAAATAAACAAATTCTACTGTCTGCTATGTAACAACAAGCTCATTGTTAGCAGGATCTGTATCTCACTTTCTGTGTGCATCTACAGTGCCTAAATCACAAGGCTTGATGAGTGGGGATGAGTCCATGACTCTTCTCTATCAGACTTATCCAGGGGATGGAAGAACAATGACAACCAAAGGACACATTCTGATACCCTGTGCTTATGATGTGGATCTAGGTTAAGGAAGGGGTCTTATGTGAGCCAGAATCATCTGTAGAGGAATATCCCTAGGCCTAGGTGCCTGACTTAATTAGCATGAGTACCAGCATCTTCAGTCTAGATCCTTTCATAGACTCAGCATTCAGATCAGTGGTGATCATTTTTCTGAGCTCAGACCTACCTGGGAAAAAGGGATACACATCTCCAGAATGTCAGCGGCAGGGCGGGGACCTGCCCTACAGGGACAGCCTGGAAAACCCAGTGCTCTTGGAGTTGTAAGTCTACTGGAGCAACCTCTGGTACTCAGAGTGCCATGATGAAGTTGGCTTGTGGCAGTACCCAGTGTTCAGGACCCAGCACACCAGTATGCTGGCTTCAGGAAGACGTGGGAGTGTAGAGAACATTTGTTACTGCCACACCACACATTTACAGCTGATGGGGATGGGATGCTTCTAGGCCATGAGTGCCTAATCCAAGAAAGCTGAACTGAAGGAGGTCTTCTGCTTCTTTGGCCTAGTAATAAGAAGATAAGAGCTGGCTTATAACGGAGAGAGTTCTTGCGCAACATGCTTTGGATTATTTCAGATGGGTGTTCCTTGTCTTTTAGTCACCAAGGAAAGTCACCAAGAGCCTCATCATAAAGGGCAGAGGGCCCAATTTTCCTTGATGAAATTGATTATGGTGACACATTTGGAATATAAATGATGATGATCAGGATGGGGGCATATATTTCAGAGGGCTCAGTGTACCTGTTGTGATGGTTAACCTTCATTATCAACTTGATGGGATTTAGAATCACCATAGAAACACATCTCTAGGTGAGTCTATCGGGCTGTTTCTAATGTTCTTTTCATTTTCTGTGGTGTGTGTATGTTATATGTGCCTGTGTGGGTACACTTGGAGGCTAGAGGATGATGTCATAATATCTTTCTCAGCTGCTTTTTCCACCTTATATTTTGAAATAGTCTTTACTACATCTAGAACTTACCATTTTGTCTAGGCAGACAACCAGCAATCCCTTCAGGATCTACCTGTCTCCAATTATCCTGGATTTTCTTATCCCATCATCCTCCTATGCTTCTCACATCATGATGGGGTCACAAGTGTGTGCTATCATGCTTGGCTTTTGTATATGTGCCCAGGAACTGAACTCAGGTCTTCATGCATGTACAGCAAGTACTTTACCCACTGAGCTATCTATCTGTACAGCCCCCAGAAAGGTTTAACTGAGGACAGAAGACACAACTGAAGTATGTGAAACTATTCCATGCACCGGAAGCTCAGAAAAAGAAAAAAAATACTGGAGAGATTAAGCAGAGCATCATCATCATCAATCTCTGTTCCTGACTCTAGACATGATGTGACCAGCTACTTCATAATCCTGCCTGGTACCTGAAGTTGCTTTTCTCCAGTATTTTATCAGAGTAATGAGTAAGGGAACCATTTCATCTGTGCATGGAAAGGAGGAATGTCTGGGATGATATAGGGAATAGGGAACATGCTTTGAAGGGAATTTGTCTTTCTTTCTTTCTTTCTTTCTTTCTTTCTTTTTTCCTTTCTTCCTTCCTCCATCCCTTCCTTCTTTCTCCTCTCCTCTTCCTTTTCTTCTTCAAAATACATTTTGTTTGTCTGTTTTTGAGGCAGAGTCTTATACTACAGCCCAGGCACGTCTGAAATGTACTATTTAGCCTAGGATAGCTCAGAACACAGAAATCCTCTTAAGTCAGCTTCCTGATGATTGCTGGGGTTAGAGACAGAAACCACAAAACCCAGCTGGGATTGGTTAGGTGGGAGGAGTACTAAGGATCAGTGACCAGGATAGAAAGAGACCTTTATATCATAGTGAGAGTGGAGACTTGTGGAGGCCACTCTTGGATGTCAACTTGACACATCTGGGAAGAAGGAACTTTGGTTAAAGTATTGTCTCCAGCAGATTGTCCTGTGGGTACATCTGTAGAGCCTTTTCTTGATTGTAAATTGATAGAAGACCCAGCCCCACTGCAGGAAGTGCCATCCCTGAGCAGGTGGTCCTAGGTTGTACAAGGAAGGTAGCCAAGTAAGCCAGGGGAGTGAACTAGTAACAAGCTTTTCTCCAAGGTCTCTGCTTTAGTTCCTGGCTGTAGGCTCCTGCTTTAGTTCCTGCCTTGGCATCCCTCAATGATAGGCTGTAAAGTAGAAGCTGAAATAAACTCTGTCGTCCCCAAGTCACTTTTGATCTCAATGTTTTGCATAGCAACAGAAAGCAAACTGTAATAAGGCTCAAGATTTCCACCTCCCTCCTTGAGCAGTGCCACTGGAGTCCTGCTTGGTCTCTCTGGGGTGAGTTCCAGTCTCACCTGGAGTGGTCACCACCCAGCTTGCCCAATGTCCCTCTGCTCTAACAAAGAGACACAGCATCCTCTGACCACTGACCATTCTTGTGCAGTCTATAAGGCTTTTCACGATCCTGGTGTGTTATTCCCCCATTCATTTTCAGTGTGAGTTCTACACTGCCCATGTACTACATGGATGCGACCTCTGAGCACACTTTTGGGCAATAGAGCAAGAAATCTTATTAGATAGAGGCTCTGGTGCTCATTTTACCCTTCCCAGAATAAACAAAAGACTTAATGTGTTTAACAAAACCAACTTAGCCTGGCCTCTAGACATAGCTGTCTAGTCATTTAAATCCTGGCCTCAATGTTCCTATTTAGAAATGGAGATTCATACCTAGCTCACAGTATTGCTATACATGCTAAGTGAATTAATACAGGAGCAATTTCTTACCCCTAAGAACCACTCAATAAACATTGAGTTTTGTAATAGAACATTGATAGTCTTATCCAGCTGGGCTCTATCTGGAAAGGCTAAACGGAGGAGGTGACATGGAGGCCAAGGTTGAATGCCAATGAAGAGTAAGGAGAAAGAAGAGTGACCAGAAGCATGGGGAGTGGGGAGGCTCTGGTAGGATGGGGCAGTGAGTGGGTAGGTAATGAATGGCACCTGTCAGGGGGACCTATTGAAAGATCTTTGAGAGACAGGATCAAAATGAAAAAGGAGGGGGGGTTCATACAGTAGGCACTCTACAAACTGAGCTTGGTCTCCAGCCCCATGTGAAATTTTTTGAATACTAAATGTAGAACCTAAGGGTTATCCACTGAGAAATGAGAACCATAACATTTTTTTAAGGAGACGACAAAAACCTTCTTTGGTTACCATCAATCCAGACAACTTTATGGTTTTAAAATTTTTCTCTTTTATTTCTTTTTCTGGGGGTGTGTGCAGTGTGTGTGTGTGTGTGTGTGTGTGTGTGTGTGTGTGTGTGTGTGACAGAGAGAGAGAGAGAGAGAGAGAGAGAGAGAGAGAGAGAGATTTTTCCGAGGGGCTTTTAGACAGTAGTCCACGGTGGCCTTGAATTAACTACGTAGCCCAAGCTGGTCCAGAATTCACATCCTCCTGCCCAAGTCATCAGAATACTGGGATTCCAGGCTTGAGCCACCAGGTAGGGCTTGCAGTTTTCTCCTTGAGTGTTGACACCAATGTCTGGTGGTTTGATTGATGGAAAAGATGAGGTTTGAAAGGGAGAGTGAATAACGGAAGGGTAGGAGTGAAGGGGTTTAAAAGTGCACCTGAGGAAATAGTAAAAAAGACATCTTTCTGAACTTCCCATTCCTGGGGCCGAACTCGGGGCATAAATTGCCTTCTTTGCACTTAGAAATTGGAAGTTTCCGTCTCAGTTCAGGGCTTCTTTTAACTTCTACAGGGTCCTTTACGAGGGAGGTGCAAGCGTAGGGCATTAGGACCCAGCGATTGTTGTAGTGAGAGTCGTTGAATCTCGATCTCTCAATTTTTCTCTCCAGCTCCCTCCTCTCCCTTTGTCATTCTCTCTGCTGCCTCCGCAGCGTGCCTCTAGCTCTCCCTGTGCTAACTGCCTGCGCCTTGACAGCCGGGCTGCGCAAAGCAGAGGGATTAGTTGGGACCTGCCTTGGTGACCCCATGGCATCCCCACGAACCATAACTATCGTGGCTCTCTCAGTGGCCCTGGGACTCTTCTTTGTTTTCATGGGGACCATCAAGTTGACCCCCAGGCTCAGCAAGGATGCCTACAGTGAGATGGTGAGTGATGTAAAGGAGCAATGAGGAGCGCTCCACTGTGGGATTGTGACAACCTCTCTTTTCTTTCTCCGCTCCGGTGCCTTTCCCTTAACCTCTCCCCCAACCCCGGACCCTCCTCCCTAACAACTTTGCAGCTCAGAAAGAACAGCTGGACCGAGTGCGATTTCTTTGTGGACTATGCCGGGAGCAACTGTTTTGGTGCCACTGCATGCCAGTTGGGGGAGGGGCTGCCCAGCGAAGACCCCCAATTTCAAGTCAAGCAGGAGGCTGAGACCTGCGTAGCACCTGTCATCAGTGAGCCTGTCCTTCTTCCCAGTACACACCCAAAGTCCCAGGCACAACCAGTCTACAAGTCTGAGTCCTTCCCTCTAAGCTAAGAGTTTAGGGAGCCAGAGTTTATCTATTTTAGGGAGGAACAAAGGGGAAAGAGAGGAAGAGCTGGGGGTGGGGTGAGGAGACGGGTTCCTAAAGCTGGCAGTTTGTAGGGGCTGACTACGTATTCTTCGTCATCCCATGTGCAGAGCTGACAGTATTCCTTTAGGCACCGGGGTACGATCTGAAGCTTGGAGACAAAGCAGTCTTGCCCCAAATAAAGGTCACTGGGCATCTTCTGCTTCTGCCCCTTCCCTGGAGAGAAAGCTGGATGTTTTAGTTTATCTCGTGTGTGGGCTAATCTACAGAATCTATCAAGCCTGTTTGAACTGTCTGTAATCCCTCCCATGCCTCCGGTGGCTGCCCAGAGCCGGGCCCTCTGCAGGTTTCCTCTCTGCAGAGTTGGAATGCCCGAAGGTGACTGGCCAAAACAGCTCTGCAAACTGGGGGCTGGGCTACCTTTCCCAGTTGGATGCGATGAGGACCTATGTAGTGGAGTACTAGGAGATAGCAAGAGATGTTTCCAGCACTTTCGGTCTTTCACCTCCGCCCCTGTCACTTTGCCCATTGCCCGCCCGGGTTGTAGGGAGCCTGCTTCAAGAAGCCTTTGCCAGGGTGTCAGTAATGGGAGCAAGCACAGAAAACTGGGCTCTCAAGGTCAAGATGGAAATGAGCTTAGGGGAGGAACAGAAGAAAGAGAGAAAAAAGGCAACAGGGTCTCTCCTTTAGGGCTGAGTCAGACACTGAGAGGGATTCGTCGCACTCTGAGAGCCCACTGCAAAGCCTCCCAGGGCCCCTCAACATCAGCTGCAAAAGGATGAAGTCTGGCAAATTGTAGATGTTCAGAAAATACTTGCACACAGCTCTGGCTTGAGCGATCTGTTTCTTCCTTACCATGGGATTACTCTGGGATGGGGGAGGGTGGCTTAGGGCTAGCCCCAGTGGCAAATCCTAATATGCTTCTCCTTCTCATCTCCCCTCCTCCCAGTATGTGAGAGCAGATGGAATTGAAAGCAGGTCAAAATAAGTAGCCAAGGCTGCCTGCATTGGGGAAGGGGGTAGGGTGAGGTAGCAGAAGCCACCAAAGGCCTCGAAGAGGTTCAAGTACAGGGAAAGGGCGGTGAAGAAATGCTTTTATGCTTTTGTCTTGCCTGGACTAGTTTAAGTGTTCGATGCTAAATACACGAATGTGCCCTTGTTTTACTTTTCTCATGTACGTTTATTTATACTTCTGTGCGTGTGCACCAGAGGTATTTTAAGCCTTCCCTTTCTTTAGGGACATAGCTTTCTTCTCTATGCTTCCTGCACTCTGAACCTTGCCCAGCTGCTTTGAAGGACCCCCAAGCTGCACCCTAAGTACAGTATTCTGCTCTGCAGGCAATTCGACTAAGATGGAGTCACCACCGGGAAGCTTCCTACCAGCTTGGCAGGCGCTCATGAGGAGTACTAGGCACAAATGGGTTTAGAGTGTGCTTCTTCCTAGGGAGTGGAGCTGTCTATTGCAGCCGAATGAAAGCAAGAGAAAATAAGCCTGAAGATCTCCTGGCATAAACAGAATAAGATTTAAATTGGTATACTCTAACAGAGCAGTAGGGAGCAAGTGTGTTTGTGTGTGTGTGTGTGTGCGCTAGCTCGCATCTGTGTTTCTGTACTATGGGGCTTTTGGAAGGGTGGAAATACTATCTAACTGGAAGGTAGATGTCACAGTGATTTGAACATTATAGAGGATTTCCAGACTGCTCTTTTCCAGGGTTTCCTCCTACACTGAGTGTCAGGCAGTGGCTAGTGATGGCTTTCTAACATAGGGCCCACTGTGTAGTGCCCAGGCTTGTCCCAGTTTTAATCTGGAGCCCACATGAAAAGGAGGCAGTATTCAGTTCTTGAACATAATGTGCTTAATATATATTGTGGACACCACTCAGCATGCTAAAGCTGGAGACTTAGAAGTTTCAGGTTAGCTGAGTTACATACCCCGAGGTAATATATATGCTTTTGGAGACTATATATATTCTCCAAAATAGTATAGATTAGCCAAAAAGAATATATACACATATTCAGCTATTCACATATATATATATGAATATGTATGTCTATTTGTGGGATGGATGGGTGAATGAATGAGTCAAATGAGTCATTTGCAGCATTGCCTCATGGCCATCCTTTAATCTTCTCTGGTTTATTCTTGATTATGCAGTTCATGAGCCATCTCTTGTTTCTGAGAAAGGGTCAACAGTCCTTCAGAACAACAAATTTAGGATAGATGGAGTGATTATCTAGACTTTTCTATTTTCCATTTTGGAGTGATTTCTCTGCATTAGTGGAATTAGTCATATATTGGCTCCAGTGGTATTTCTCATAAGAGCTCAAGGTGGTGGTGGTGGTGTAGTTCTAAGATGATTTATTTAGAACATATCTGTGAGGTAGAGTCATCTTATTAGACCTTTCCATTTTACTAATGGATAATTGGAGCATAGCAGGTTTAATGATTCATCCAAAGTCATAGGAAAAGCTATTGTCAGACAAGAGATTGGAAACCATGTGCATAAAAGGTCATTGAATTGTTTTCGTTGGTAGAATCTACAACTGACTCTTTAAAATACCTGACACATTCTTCTTACTTTTTCTTTTGCATGAGTTCAATTTATATTTTGGGGCTTTATTTTTGAGTCAATTTTTTGAATTTAGATTTTTGCATTTTTTTGGTGGGGTCTATTTTTATCTCTATTTTAAAGCCTTTATATGCTAGGCCTGTGGTTCACATCTTAAATCCCAGCATTTAAGAGGCAGAGGCAAGTGTAGCCTGGGCTACATAGTAAGTTCCAAGACAGCTAGGGATACATAGAGAGACCCTATCTCAATAAATAAATAAGTAAATACATAGATAGATAGATAGATAGATAGATAGATAGATAGATAGATAGATGATGGATGGATAGTAGATAGAAAGATAGAGCTATTATGTTATCTTAGATATGATTCTCTCTATGAAGAATAACTAGAGAAACTGCTAAAAACCAAACAAAATACCATGAATTTTTCTCCTGGCTCTACTGGAGCATACAGGAAGGATTAGAAAGAAGAGTGCAGGGTTTGGAGTCATACAAGCCAGAGTTAGAATTCTGGCACTCTTGGCATCTCAGTTTCCTTATTTGTAACATGGAAATAAGAATGCCTATCTCAAAGGGTTGTACACATTAACCGAGACAGCATTTTTATAACGTATGCTACAGTGTTTGCTACAGTCGGTGTTCAAGGAAAGCGTTGGGTGAGATGATGGTGATAATTGATTCTATTTTATGCAGTGGTTTTCAGACTAATTTGAATAGCCATTTAAGGGGCTAGAATCAAGTGTGCAGAAGAACAAAATGTACTTTCATGTGCCCTTGTGAGCAGACCTTTATGCAATCAATAATATTAAAGAATCCACTTGCTGCTGTGTGATGCACAGTGACTCTTGTACAAAATTAGCATACACATCTCTGAATAATCCATTTGGTATGTGTTGTCTCATACCTCCCCCAGATTAAGGAAGTGTTATTATACAGTCTTCTATATCCCAAATGACTCCTGAGTGACCCGAGACTCCCTTGACTGAATGCCTCATTAGTTCACTTGAATTGGGAGACAATGTTTACAGATGCTGCTAAGCAGTTTCCTGTGCAGTGGCTGGGGGTACATGGATGAATAACTTGCATGCAATTTGTATTCAGCTTTCTGTAGTGGTGGTTCTATCCAGGAGGCCACATATATATTAGTAAGAAAACACCAAAATTCTGTCACAAAGAAGCCAAAGGATTTGGACCCCGGGGACCATGGAGCAAGTCTCTGATTCTTTCCATTCCTTCATAGAAAAGATTTGTTGATTCTATTAATTTGGTTATCTGTAGTTAGTTAAATGCTCCCCTGTTTGTGCAACCCTAGTGAGACATTCCCAATATGTTTGTGCAGTTTATTTAATGTCCATGGGCAATCTTTTATGCTTCCAATCAGTGCCATTAATTGCTTTCCAACTAGGTAATAGGGTAGTAATTCACCGAAGCTTAGACTTCTTGGAGGTGGTGCAGTATATCTATTCCCTTAAAGAGAAAATAGACCCTGAGATGTGATGTGACTTGCTTGGTTCACACAACCACAAAAGCTGAACTATACACATCACATCAAAGCTGCTACTGGGATCTCATAGACTCTCAGTTGGCCAACATCTGACTTTGTTTCAGAGTGGTTTTGACTTAACAGCAGAGGACAGATTCCCTTGTTCTAAGAAGCAATTGTAGATAGACTCCCCTTTGCTTAATAGGATCAGGTTTGTTAGAGTCCTCTTTAGGGAGACATTGATGACAATGGCAAGTGGCATCACTGAAAAGGTACTTATCATTCATGCGAATAGTTAGCAATTAAACGTGATGAGCTTTTTGTTGCATTCAGATAATGCTCTATGATTCATGGGTGGCTTTTTTCCTACAAAAATTCATGAAAATCATATGTGAGTCAGCAAATTTTGCAGCTTGTGTAGGTTTTATGTGGTCTAAGATAGTAACTAGGCTGAGACTTTTAGGCAAAATATATTTTTGTCAGTGCACTCTTTCACGTTCATGTAATTCTCCCTGTAAATTGTATTGGAGTATCACACACACACACACACACACACACACACACACACTCACACTCACACATAGTATAACTGTACAGTCCTAGAAGAATTCAGAATATTTCCATGTAAGTATGTACCCATTAGCAGACAAGCAGCACTCAGTTACTACCCTACCAAGGATAATTTTATTGTCCTGATTTTTAACATTGTAAGATAGTTGTATCTGTTTTCTTGACTTTAAATACATCTATTATATAGTCTATTAGCCCATCTTCTTTCAACTAGTAGGCATAAGTGAACTAAAGATGATCAAACTACTTACCCTCTATTCCTGTTTTGTCTTGTTAGCTGACTTAGGTTGGTTATTATGTGACATTCTTGAGCTAGCTGTTCAAGTTTAATGTCACTAATATGAGCTCATGGCCCTGGCATGTTATGAAGAATAAGTAAACACAGAGAAAAAGGGGATGAGTAAAGAAAAGCTCAATGTGCTTTCCTTTACTCTTTTCTGAATCACATGTTTTCATACCAAAAGGATGGACCTGCTTGACTCATTGATGCTATTAAAATGGGTTCTGTGGCTCATTGTGTGGTTCACAGAAAGAGTGTGTGTGTGTATGTGTGTATGTGTGTGTGTGTGTGTATATGTGTGTGTGTGTGTGTGTTTTACTTTCAGTTGAAGCTATGGTACTATGAATCTTAGATTAAATTTCCAAAATACTCATCTAACTTTTTTGTTGTTGTTGTTTTACGAGGCAGGGTATCTCTGTGTAGTCCTGGCTGTCCTGGAACTCACTCTGTAGACCAGGCTGGCCTTGAACTCAGAAATCCGCCTGCTTCTGCCTCCAAAGTGCTGGGATTAAAGGCGTGTGCCACCACTGCCCGGCTCTCATCTAACCTATAAAAGGGGAAACTGAGGCAATATGCTACCTGTCATTTTATCCAAACAACAAGACAGATACAGGTTCAAGGACAGTGCTGCCCGGTGGGCCTTTGATGATATTTGAAACACTTGACAAAACACTTCTGTTTCTCATGTCTTTGCCCCTTCAAGGAAACTATGGTTTCAGGGTCTGTTTCATTTGAAGGAAAAATAAAACCAGACATAAAAAGTGAATTGTGACAGTTTTGGGGGAAAGTGAGTCAGTCAGCTCTCTTTAAACCTTCCATCAGTACCATTAATGCCTTTAGAGATCAGTTACTACAGATTCAAGACGCCTGACCCTTTGTTTGTTAGAAATGAGGTGGCCTGCACCACACATTAAGAAAGGAGCTGGCAATGGTAGGAGTCTTTTGATGTCTGTCTTCTTCTCCACAACAGAAAGAATGCAAGGCTCCCTATAATGTCAATATTCACCCCATCTCTAATAAATCATACAATCTTCAACTGGAGTCATGGGTAATAGCTCCTGTATGTGTTTGCTCAGCTTAGAACTAAAGATTCGGTGAAATGCCTGGCCCACATTCAGTTTTCTCTTGAGAAAGAGGAGGAAAGAAAGAGGCAATAAGGGTTCACTGGTGGAGCATTTACCAAGCTGCATGTATGAAACCCCAGGTTGGATTCTCAGTGCTGAAAATCAGGTTTCTTCTGGGTATGATTATGGGGACAGGAGGATGCCTGTTCACAGATTTCACAAACTCATAGATAAAAATCTATTCTTTTGTTTTTGTTTCGAGTAGGCTGGCCTTGAGTTTATAGAGATCTGCCTGCCTCTGCCTCCCAAGTGCTGGGATTAAAGGTGTGCACCACCACTGCCCGGCTAAGAATCTATTCTTGAATGTTAAGTGATTGATGCTGGGGAGGGTGGGGAATCTAGAGAAGCTATTCAGTGTATATCTAGATGTTATGGGACCAGAAGAGACTGTAGAATCTCTAAGAAACTTACTTCATTCCCCTTGTGCATCCCGCAGAAACTCCAAATTTAATATTTAGGAATTCTTCTTTGAAAAACTTAATGCTGTTAATTAGAAACGGTCCTTATGAAAGTGAACATGGTGGGTTTTTGTGACTCACTCCAGTAATCTTAGCACTAAGGAGGTACAAGTGCAAGGCTCACAAGTTTAAAGACATCCTCAGGGACTTATTGAGACCAGCCTGGTTACAGGGGACAAGACACACACACACACACACACACACACACACACACAGAGAGAGAGAGAGAGAGAGAGAGAGAGAGAGAGAGAGAGAGAGAGACAGACAGACAGACAGACAGACAGAGACACACACACAAACAGAGACACAGAGACAGAGGGGTCATTCTTATAGCCAGGTACAGCACAAGCCTGTAACCTCAGCATTCCATATGCCAAGACAGGAGGGAGTAGTACAAGACCACCTTTAGCTTTTATTGCTTTTAAGAGATCACATTGGCTTTCTGCCTGGTTCTTATATTCTTTCCCTCAGTATTCATAGTGGATAGCTTCAGGACAGATGTCTTCCCCTTTTCAGGAGATACCCAAATCTTTGGATACTCAAGTCTCACTTAAAATGATCTAGTATTTATATTATCTATGTACATAGTCCCATCTAGATTACTTTCGGCACCCAACGAGCACAAATGCTGTAGTAAGTACTACTGAAAAATTCTAATAGAGATGTAGATTTAACTTTTCAGTCTGCAGCTGGTTGATGCCTCATTTGTAGAAATTGAGACCTGAATTTAGTAGTTGTTCATCTGGTGTCTTTAAGATCTCTGTGTGCATGTGTGTGCATGTGTGTGCATGTGTGTG